ACATGAATGACTTCCTGGTTCATGACCCTTGAACTATGATTGTTACTGAACCATTCGATCGGAATTTGTGTGACTATACGTTCCTTGTGGTAATTTGTCAAAATAAATGATAGTTATCGTACCATTACTACTTCTGTTAGCGGCTTCTGTTACTTTTGGGGGCGAGGTTTGGTAAAAGTTTGACTTTCACTTGACTCCCGAACTCCCGAACGAACGCTGTGATACACACGGCAACTCGAAAACACTAATGTTATTTATGTTTGAGTTTTCGGTTTTAGTAAAGAACTTCAAAACAAGACAGATCGTTAACTACCGTTAGTGTCCAATTTGCCGCCATCAGTATCTATAAGTAAACATCATACTTTAGTTCGATGGACAAAGATTTGAATAAATACATGAAATCAGTATTTTAACACATGGTTGAGTACATATATCATGTTTGTTGCCAATTGGTTTTAAAATCAGTATAAGCAATGTACAGTATATTTACTTAAATAAATGAAACACTGTCAATAATGGGTTACCTTAACACAAATATATGTGATAGAAATTCTACTGATATTTGATTACTTATACGTTCACAGTGATAGTTTTTGATGTATTAAGTATGTAGTAGAAGTCTTCAAGAAGAAAAAATATATTTTACGAGAGCTCATAATTCACACTAATTAAAAATCCACGTGACATTAGATGCAACATCCATGTGTCAATTTAATAAATTAGATTACATCATGAAAATACAAAATATAAAACCTTTCTTTAGATGGGTACTGACAGTGACAAACTTGCGCATATTTTAGTATTTATTTTCGATTGACACCGAGAGCACCATAATTTGCAGTAAATTGCCCAAGAATGATGATCGACCTTTAATTCATAAAAAGTCTGTCAGCCAGCTTATTTGTGTTGTAATCGTTGCTAGCGGGCGATATTTGCCATACAATAATGTTATTACTCAATATTGGATTGCGACCGAAATATTAGCATGTATTATTTAAAGTAGCAAGACTAGTATTTGCATACTTGTTTTCATCTTCTAATTGTGACTAAAGGACCACAAAAAGATCCAGGAAAGTATATATTTTTGAAATCGCCAGACTTCAAGCTTTTCAAAAGTGTGTTTTGTCATGCCCGTATCTGCATTCCAGACACGTTACTCAATCAAAGGTAAAAAATAAAAAAAAAAATACGCATTCATGCTGGTGATAAAAAGTTTTTTTTTTCACTTTTCCTAGTTGTTAAATAGTCTGGTAAATTGAATGTGTCTTGTCAGTTTTATTCAAGCAATGCGCTTTAAAAAGTAATGTGCTGAATTTTAATTTCCGTTTTAGTCATATTGCCCCCAACTCAAACCACAATACGTTGTAAATAATCCACGAAATAGTTTGTCCGGACGCATTCAAGTTCCTCTCATTGTCACCTTAAAGCTGTGAAAATTTGGTGTTAATCCGACGACGATAAGATAGATTATTTTTTTGTTAAAGACCTTGTATTTTGAAAAAATAAACTCCTAGAAAACGTTCATGAAGTCAAAGCAAAGATTTTCAAGCTTGTTTATCGGCACAGTCAATTTTTTTTCCCATCAAAGTCTGTTTTAACATGTGTCCATATGTGTCCCTTTAGCAAATGTGCTAAAGCTATTGGAAACCAAAAAAATAAAGGAATGGGATAGCCACAATTCGATAAAATCGACAGATGGGAACACCAACATCAATGACAATCAGAGGCGGAGACAAACCATTCAAGTGTTTGGAAACACTCATTGTGTGTCAGAAAGCTAATGATAACACATTCAAACATTGATTTGTCTTGAGTATATCTTTGAAAATTATAGGCACGCATATTAAACCTTTTTGTTACAAGAATATTAGCATTTATTTTTCATTTGTTGGGAGCTATAATTAATCAATACTGGGTTGATCATTACCTAAATAATAAAAAAAAATCTTTTACGACAACAACCAAAGAACTGTTTCCCTCAATCTCAAACAAATCGGATGGCGGTCTCGTATTTGGGTTGCGATATTGTCCGACACTCAGCTAGAAAATATATACATATTGTGTAGTGTATTTATGTGGAGCTGTACTTTCCAGGAGGTCACTCATTATCATTTTCCCGTGCCAATCGTTCTATGTATGATGTTTAAACGAACACATGGTTATCGTTTTGTGGTGTATAATCTAATGACAAATATTGAGTCATTTTAAGTTAAACGTGTCATTATATTGATAATCTATTCAACAAATAATGTGTCTAACGTAATAATGATACCATACAACATTCAATCATATAACTAATACATTACACCACGCCATAGATTAGTAAAACGTATATTGCGGCCAGATTGTTTTATTACTTTATTAACTCAATCCACCGGCCCCAAATATCAACAATCCAATAAGTTTTTTGACAATTAATAGAGAATATATACACTGATTTATATTTCTAATATGAATACAGTTAAGCACTACCACGTCGTTGTTATTTCATAATAAAGATTGCAAGTCATGTGTTAAAAA